TTCAGGAAGTTGAGCCACCTTCAGGGACAAATTTTCAGCCAAATCTGCCTGCAGACAAAAAAGTCAATAAAAACTGACTTTATTGTGGAAGACTGTGGCAGTACAGTACACAGAGGTAGCCTACGGAAGCGAAAGGAGGATCTCGATTCCGCGCGCGCAAAATCAATATATCTTCACAGCGCACAAGTTAATGAAACGAGCTGGATAATAGTGAAAATAGCCATACTGAATCACAAGTATGTATACCTCAACATCATAGCTCTTGAAAATGCCGTCCTTATAAAGGTCGATGGCGCAATTCAATGCAGTCTGGCCACCGAATGTACACAGTATTCCAGTAGGGCGCTCCTTTTTGATCACCTAAAAATACGTAGGCCTTCATAGAACTCCACTCCGAACCATTTCCGCGATAGTATTGTGTTTCCGAGACTTACATCAGTAACATACTCCTTTGTAATAGGCAGGAAATAGGTGAAATCTGCGAAACCTTTCGACGTCTGTACAGTGGCAACATTTGGATTAATCAGGACAGTTCGAATTCCTTCTTCTTTCAACGCTTTCAGGGCCTATAGAAACAAACTTAGTGTCCTCAAATGTAATGGTATGATATGATTTTGAAGAGAAATCCCTCATTGAGCATAACTTTTGCTGAGCCTCGAATAAGTAACCTACTTGAGCTCCTGAATAATCGAACTCCCCAGCTTGTCCAATTGTTAGACCTCCCGAGCCAAGCACGAGAACCTTTCGCTGCTTTTTTATCTGGTAGCTGGAATCGTAGCGGATAGCTGCCGACAGCCGCTCGTCCACACTGAAGACAAGATAGTATCGATATTTATTCTCTTATATGCTTTTTTAAATTTATTTTCCCCAGAACTACCAAATTATCTGCACTGTAAGTTGCACAGCTCGCTACGGACTGAGAGGTGCAATCAGTGGCAGAGGTCGTAATGGGAGGGTGGAGGGTAATCACCCCACTCTCGATCTCAGCGCCCCGAGTGGGTAAGCACCGAAAGACCCAGACGCTAATTAAGCCTCCCACTCAGGAACTAATGTCAGGTAACGTGCATACACCAAGAAAACAAAAAAGGAATAGACCTAACAGGCTCTAATAGGACTCCTAAGCCTCAAACAAGAGCGCGAGTTCAAGGCGAAAGGGATGGAGAGCGCAGACGAGCACAGAATTACCAAGTCTTGCCTCGAACAGGTCTAGGTTGACTAAGGGGGCCTAACCAGCTGCTTTATCTGCATAGAAAAAAAAACGTCGAATCACGCTCCGGTTAATGACCTGTCCTAAAGCAACTTGATGCATAAAGTAATCACAGACATTGTCACGCAAAACAGTGTCTGGGGCGTGTCACGCGCATGAGTTTTGGCCCCGAGTCATTTAAACCGTCATTCCAATAATGATCGTACAAATAAACGGCATAGCACTGCTCAAAGCGCTCCGCTGAGTACACCCCAACTGCTTTTCAGTGAAATGAACATGCACAACAGCTATTGAATCCTCGACTACTACTCACAACAGTATTACTTTCGCTTACTACTCACCAGCAATCCTCTCCTTTTTTCATCGAATGGATTGCTTCAATAAACACGTCGAAGAGAAATTCACAATCAGCCGGACCTCCGGTATGCTCCGGATGGAACTGGACACTGTAGAACGGAAAAAAAATCAGAAAATAGGTAAAACGATCGATTCCCATGCTTGAATATCTAAAAAAATTTCCAGCTCAAAGTACCTAAAGAATGGCTTCGACACGTGTACAATGCCTTCATTTGTCCCATCATTTTCGTTCGTAAACAGCGCTCGCCAGCCGTCTGGTAATGTAGTTGTTTCCACCGCAAATCCATGATTCTGTGAAGTTATGAAGCAACGCCCTGTGCCTTGATGGGTGCACGGCTGATTATGACCTCGATTACCGTACCTAAACATTTACGGCAACGATCATCTGAACGTCGAAGACCAAAATACCGTATGTTATCAGAGAAAAACAATAGGAGCATAACAAAGACAAGAAACTTACTTGAGCTTATAGGTTTTAGCTCCGATAGCACGTGCTAACAGCTGATGACCAAGGCAAATACCAAACACGGGTTTCGTATTTTTCTTGAGGAATTCGCTCAGCCTATTCACCAACAGGGTGCATCGTTCTGGATCTCCAGGACCATTCGAGATGAACAGCCCATCAAATACTGCAAAAAGATAGAAAAATCGGTCATACCGTAGTTAAGAGGGAGGAGACGGTTGAGGGTGTTCGTCTGCCCCTCCCCCCAGTGAGCTGTACAACTAATAGGAAAGATAGTACCCCTACAGCTCCAACCTCAGAGTGAGCGCCGTAAAGTCTCGTCGCCTGCTTCCCACTGCCTCGCCCTTTTCCCCATTGTTTGGGCGCCCGAAAGTCGTTCACGTACTACAAGTAACATGCGAAGCTCAAGGGTTGCAAGACAGTTGAGGAGATCACGAGACCATATTGGGATGCGTCCACATGTTCAGCTGCCTTCTCTAAGGTTATCGTCTTTGGGTAAGGGTTCACTGAGCCATTTCCATTCAACATTATATGCAAAGTAACTCAGCTCGTTATCCCTGCAATATCCTCATTCCTCACCTTCGCTTTCGAATGGATGATCCCATGGCACCACTTTTACGCGCACTCCTCGTTCCACCATACACCGCCACAGTCGACTGGCTAGGACGGTAATTCCACCAGAGCCGAATATCTGTGGTGACTGAAAAAATAACATAATGCCTCAGAGCTTTAGAACAGTACCAGAGAAAGTTCAATGAAGCCAACAAATAAAGCCGTACTTTTCGTGATACTGCTGCCACCAAGTTGGCCTCATTGATGTCACGGAAGGGATATACTGACGGTTTCGGGGGCGGTTCGCGTTTCAATTTATCTATCTGGGCAACTCGTTACGCCAGTGAAGCACGCTTCCTCATAAACAAAGCTCATTGTCAAAAAGCTTTTTAGCTCTACGTTTAGCTTTCATGGTTTCACTACTTTCTAATTTTCTTGGTAAGTTTTCTAACATCAATTCCTGCCAAGCCTGGAACGCCCGCTCTACGAAGGAATGAACTGAGCGATTCCACTGCTTCCCAGTGGCTATGTTCATTTTCCGGACAAATTCTGAAAACTATTTACCTGAGCTTCCTGAGCGAAATATCTGACAAAACCCGTGAAGACCACATTACGCGCGGATAAAGCAATGAGCGGGGGCAATGGCAACCTTGTCTACCTCTTTGGCGCGCTGCTATTCTGTTTGCGACTGCAGCGTTTTGGAACATCGCACTTGTTTGCAGGGAAAGAGTGGTACAGGTATCGATTGGCGTCCAAAACGCCAATTCGCTAGATCCCCAAAACACCAGATCGATACCTACATTTCTTTTTCGCTCAGAGGGGCGATTCTTCCAAAACGCTGATTCGCCTAGAATACCATGTAGAACGATATGAACGCAGCTAATATTTTCAGAAGGAAACGCTCACCAAGAACCCTCAACTAGGAACACACAGTAGTTACGGTCCCCGCCCACCTAGTAATCACGGACTGTGCCTTCACTTTTTAAATACCGCTGTTAAACCCACTTGTCTACGATCAAAGCCGCTGGCCAAACACGGTTACTTTCAAAGTGTTTTGGCAATCCAAGTGAGTCAGTTTCTGATTGACTAGGAACTCCATAGTTTCCCATCATGGGATATGTTAGTACGAGAAGTTGTTCGGCATAACTAGGATCTGTCAGCGATTCCACATAGCCAACCATACCCGTTTGGAAGACTTGAAAAAATACTTTTCGAATTTCAAAGGATGAACTTATTTAAAAGGAACTTGAGCAAGCAATAAACCAAAAATGTTATCCTCAAAGTTGAAAAACATCTAAAATCTTACCAATTTCACCAACAACGCTCTTAGTGGCGCCGAAAAGGTGACCAGGAAAGCTTGACCCATCGCACAGATAAAGTGTAGCCTTCATGGTCTCCCACGACATTGATGACGACGGTATCTACAAGAGGAAAAAACTAGACAGAAGTTCAAAAGACTGGAGAGTGCAATGTCCTATAGGCGCTCACAAACATTATGACTGATCGGTAGCGAAAAAAAAAGAAAATCAGAAAAAAAATACTTTTTAGGCCGTGTTCATGCACTGCGAAGGTGAAGAATCCGTGATTCCGCATCCCCCCCCCCGAATTGTGAATTGTTGCGAATCGCAAACTCTCCAGAACGTCTCCCATACAGTCTTATTCGGTGCAAATGCTAGGGCGTGTCAGAGGAGAAAAGCTTTGACGTGGCGCCAGCCCTTTACACTCAATAAGGTCGCTTGCTCTTTTGAACAATTGAGGAAAAACGAGCTGGGGCCGCGCCGAACGCGCTCTGACACACTCCAGCATCCGCAGCGAGCAAGACTGCATTTTCCTTTACATATTTTTCGCGCATTCACGAAACCGGGTCAAGTATTCTGTCGGAAAAGTTCTCCTCTACAAGATTAATACTTCCCCCAGTTTCTTATGAAAGCAACATCCACCACAACACGCCACACAACTGTCGTATAGCGTGCGGGATCTATAACAACTAGCAAAACTGCCCTTTTGCCGACAAAGAGGGTTTAGAGCGCACTTGAAGAGGCAAAAATCAACAACACACAAAAAATTATCAAGCTGAATACAGCAACTCTGCTCCAGCGACGGAATACGACTAGCAGTCGCATGTTTGACCAAGCTCCAGAATCGCAAAATGTCCCGATTTGCGGATTCGCCATATATACGAAGTATGAACGCTCCTTTGAACCTCATCATCTACGAGGCTTGTCCGCAGTTACAGCAAGAAACGTGAAAGTAAAACCATGAAAACAGAAATACTGTATGAAAAGGGTTCATATGTTGAATATTGGCCTCTAAAGTGATAATAATTATAATAGATAATTAAAACAGCAAGTGGTGGAAAACCACTGATACGAATGATATGACACAGTCTTGTCCGCTTGTCGTAAGGCAAGAAAAAAAACAATTTGGCAGTTCGCCAAACTCATCCCTCTTGACAAGCCCCATCATCCACGGCGAAAAAAACTAAGCTGATCTATTAGAAATCAATAAAATGTAGATTACGATATGATTTCATGGCATTTTCATTTTGATTATTTATCGGTTATAAAATAAGACAAAAAATATGCAATGCAGATTTAGGTGGGGGAGGTCAAAGAGCTCAGTTTCTGTTCCGCAGTCTACGGTGTAAAATTCTATCAAAGTACAGTTACTGTTCGGCAACCACACTAGTCTATCTTGTCCTCAAAGAAGATTTTACCTCGGGTGTTATCGCGTGCTGTACTTTTGATAGAGATTCACACCGCAGATTTACAATTATTCTCTATTGGGTACTATACTCATCCAGAGGTCACAGTAGCAGTTGAAGAGACCAAATTCAAAAAAAGGAGCGGAAAGCCAGAGCATGAGGTAACAAAATGAGAAGGCAGTGATGATAATATATGGTACTTATTCATAACTAAATATTGAGTACCCTCTTAGTACCATAAAATATGGCCGATTCGGAAACAAATGAAAATTCGAGGCAAAATAGCAAATTCTGCAGATATGTGAAGGACTCTCATAGAGAATTTATCATACGAACAGGGAGCCAGCGAGTATGAAAAGCGATGGGAACGTCTACGAATGCGTTTTTCCCTCCCATAACTAACACACCCAGCCTTGCAGGTTGAAAAAATGAAAAATTCGGGAAAAACTGCACAACATGTAACAACATATAAAACATGCCTTCAAATTCAACACGAATCATTGTCTTTCTTTTTTCATTACACAATTTGTAAACAAAAAAAACCCATGTGTAGAAAGCTTAACGAGGAAGAAACCAGACAATAGAACAGATGGTAAACCGAAATGAGATAGAAGAAGTGAAGATAACTGAAATGAAATAAAGATAGACAAAAGGGATAGCGATGGATCGGAGAAAAAGGGCACCGCGCGACGACTGCAACCTAAAGGTTCCATTTTTCATGCCAGAACTCTATCTGGATAGCAGTTCTGCTTAGAGGAGATGCTAGGTGATGATTAGTGGAGCCTGTACAGGCAAACTGGTAAAGTCCTGGAAACTACTGAAACCAAATTGGTCCGCCTGTACTACTTCGCAGCTTTTCAAGAGTATAACCCTTCGTTAACAAGAAACTAACGAATGGACTTCGCGAAAGAGGAGAATGCTAATTCCAAGCCGAAAAAGGCCGTTTTTCTAATCGCCAAATATGACTTTTGATTTTGGCGATGGCACCAGAAATCAATGTCGTGCAGTTCATAACCTCCACAGTCAAAGTTTTAACGTAAAAATTGGACATTTTCAGGGTTTAAAGCAACTGGACATTCGCCGGAGACGGAAAAATTTCTGAACTAAAACAGCATCATGACAGCACAACAATAGGTAATCATCCAGTTGAACTTTGTGACCCAGGATTATATATGCATGGCACCGGTAACGCGCGAAAAGTATTGCTTGATAAGATAGAGATGCCTTTGAGTTACAAGAGATCCATGGGCGAGAAATTTACAATGCACCAAAAGAAAGGTCAGGATCCAAAGAACGATAAGATAGCTAACTTACGTCTTCTCCAAATCCAGGGGTGCGGAAAACCGGCAGAGGTGTAGGAAACAAGACTCTAGCGGATTGAGTTTGTCAATTTCAGTTCAGCTATTGGCACATTTTCCGCTTTGTGGGAGAGGGGTGGAGAAGGAGCATGAGCGTTTTTGCTACTTCGCACCGTCGCGTTAATCGCTTTACAAGAGCTGGCAAGTGTTCTCTACAAACTTCGATTGGTGTAATTTTATGGCTTCAGAAGATTCCACAAACTCTGCCTGATCGCTCGGCACGACGACGGGAAGAAGCACTAACGCACAATGCCCTTTCCCTACAATAGCGCTTTTTACCTCCCAACTGCAATACAAATGGCAAAAGATCATTTTTCAGGCTATGTGAGCGACTGCAAAATTAATAAAGAAATGTAATTCAAGGAATAGAAATTCAACATAGAAGTTTTTTTGCGCGAACCATCTGATACTGAAGAAACTGAAAACAATAAAATTTACCTATCCAAAACAGTCACGATGGCGATGCCGTTTCCATGCGCAGCCCGACAATTTATGATCGAAGTTCAGCGCTATTTCGAGTGACCAGACGACGACTGCAGACGAACAGCTGTCAGCGCCAACTGAAAATGACCTCAAAGTCCATCCTTGCTCATAGACTGTCAATAAAGAATCGAACAGAGTAACGGAAATCTTCAATTTCAAGTATATTCACGATAACTTTTGAAAGCACCTCGCAGACAACGTGGAAATTTAGATACCAACTGAAATTTATGAAATGGAATTCCATGGAAAACTACTGTCACATCTGGGTGGGAAGACCGCGCAAACGCAGTTCAGCTTGAAGGGAGGGGTACCATTCGTCATGCCTCTGTATCCATTTCTTTCACCAAAGCTCACACATACTTTAGTGAGGACTAGCTCTTCGCTGCGGGAATATCTCTCACCAAAGCGTCTGGTCGTCTGCGCTCTAAGCCTAAACCTTTTTTGGGAAGGGATACGAAAGCGTGGCCAAGTGGTACCTCCACACTGAGTTAGCGCCGCAACGACTTCAGCTTTCAGACAAAACACTACTGGTTTTTCAATAGCCGATAAAGTTGCAATTTGACGAATTCTCTGCCCAGTTTGCGGTAACATATGAGTGACAACGTTGAAGGCAGTTCCCCATCCTGCTAAATGTAAAGTACATTGTACATTTTAATAACCGCACTCTTCTAGCGCTCATTCGTTTATTGACGAAGAAACTTGTCGAAGGGCACTCTTATTCATAGTAGAGACATTCAGTACATCAAAGAAGTACCAGTAGGACTCAATACAAATCTATCACAATTTCTAAGAGATAGCGGCTGACTGAAGCTGCATATTCATGACAATGCGATCGCTTGGATTAAAAAATGGGATCGCGCGACAACGACGGGGGAAGGCACCCATGCCCATTAGTAGACCGTCACAACGGTAGAATTTAATTCATGCACTGTAGAAAACGCGGCCAAATTTTGAAAGTCTCGATCCGAGCGACCGTATCGCGAGGTATCCAACTGCTTATGGCCCTTCATGCCACTGCCATGAATTGTCATGAATTTCCCCGCAGGTTAAAATAGAATTCGCATGAAAGGTTTCTCAAGTGACTTTCAGCTGTTCAGGATCTGAAGAATTGGACAACACCACAACTCCAGTTGGATGAGAGTGCTTAACAGTCTAGGTTTCAAGCCAAACAGACTTATAGGAAAGGCACGCATGTTTCAGAATGGCCTCGGTCATGGCAACGGAAAAACAGGAACTTTCAAGAAATACAGCACGATCCAGCAATAAATAGTGCCTGGTTGAAGAATACCGAAATAGCACACCTATACGTGACCGCCTTTGACGCATTAGTTTTCCGGATTATTGGCTTCAACGCGTTCCCGACCGCGCGACATACATGA